CGGTAACAAATTTGAATCTCAAATGATAAACAAATTGAATTCTGTAGTATGCATTTACCAAGGAAGATATTTTACAATTATTTTGTTTAGCAACCAAGTTGTACATTTATTATTATAGAAGCATTAGTGAATAAGCATCCAGAATATATACTGGAGCTGTCGAGGCTGTGTCCACTGGCATTTTGTTTGGCACTGGCATAGATAATAGAAACTGATGTAAAACATGGTTCTAGAGAGCTCATCATTGAATGTACTTACCTCAAATAGTAGCAAAATTTTTTCATCTTAAATTAAACAATTATATTGCAATATGTATAATTAAGTGTACGTTAAAGCTTATTTTCTTCTTATTGTACTCAAGTCATAGCCTAATGAACATGTGAACCAATTAGAAGCAGAGATATCGTGGGATAGACGTCAGAACAGCCCAATTTTAATAGTCCTACACTATAGAGGCGGATAATGAACTTTCAAAAAATCCTTAGGAACAATAGCATACTCCTCAATAACATTAAAAAAACAAACAACCGGTTTTGACATTTGAAGTACAGTATGAGCCTTTGTGTCTTGGTTCTTGACCACAGGAATTTCCACATGAAGCTCTCCTCAGCAATCCAAAATTTGCGTCCAACGCTAACGTGATGTTTATTTTAATTATTTTATCCAAATATTGTCTCCAATTTCAAATGATTTTTTTTAAAAGGAAAAATCTAAAATGTCTAGATAAAAATCCTGCCTACCTGCTAACAAGCTAGACATTCTTTTAGGGAGGTCATACGGGTAACTTTGTGTCTTGTATTTAGACTGCTTCTGTTGAACATGTATTCTAGCATGCAGTCTTCCACCAAACTAAATATCCGTATCCTGAAATTCAAGTACATGTATACAGAATATTATTATAACAGAATATTATTATAGGAGCCAAGTCTTTAACTCAATATATCACAGACATTGCAAACAAGACTTATTCGATCCCTGCCGAGAAAGTTCATCGGGATTTCCCGGCGTGGTTCCCCCTTGTCAGTGGTGCACTGACAAGGGGGAGCCACGCCGGGAAATCACGGGACCTCGGTTTTTCGTACCATCCGAACGACTAGACAGCTGTCCTTGTCAGGCCCTCCGTCCTGTATCACTGACAAGGGGGAATCACGCCGGAAAATCCAGACGAACTTTCTCAGCCAATGCAGGGATCGAACACCCGACCTCTAGGCTAGCGAGCTAGCGTCTTACCCACTTAGCCATGTGATCCCCGCCTTACCTAAAGATATAATAAACATAAAAGATCATTTTTTTCTCCTCTACGGTTATTAAAGAAACCTGCAAGATTTCAGAATGTTGGCATCAATTATACACTAAAATGAAAATATCAATGCAAAAGCAAATGGACCCAATCTGAGTTTTTTTTGTTAAATGGCGAAATGGCGACCGTCTCAAAATATATCAGACATACTATCACCGAACTGAAGACTAACTATAAATGTCTGAATTATATTGGGGGGTTGGATGGCCGAATGGTTAGCACGGGCGTGCTGTAGCATAAGGCCTGTCATTGAGTCAACAGGCGGGGTTTCGAATCTCTGGTTAAATGGCGAAATGGCGACCGTCTCAAAATATATCAGACATACTATCACCGAACTGAAGACTAACTATAAATGTCTGAATTATATTGGGGGGTTGGATGGCCGAATGGTTAGCACGGGCGTGCTGTAGCATAAGGCCTGTCATTGAGTCAACAGGCGGGGTTTCGAATCTCTGGTTGTACGTGACAAGGAGTAGGGTTGTCTGTCCAACCACGTGGGTTTTCTCCGGGTCCTCCGGTTTCCTCCCAATGCTAAAGACCCCTACGCGCAAGCGAATTATTGAAATAAAATTAAACCATATGTTAGTCCCGAAACGGCCTAGTTTGTGTCGAGTGGACGTTAAACCCCATTTCTCTCTCTCTCTGAATTATATTTGAAGCCATTTCTACGAGTTAAATTTCTACGAGTTAAATTTGTTTCTAAAACCATGCACATATACTTCATGTAGGCTCAGCTTACACATTTCTACATATTAGTGACATGGTTGAATCGAAACTTCTTACCCAATATATCAACAGCTACAATGTCACATAAATATTGTCCATTATTACACGCATGGTTCATCAAGTTGAAATGGTAAAAAAAACTTTGCTCTGTACAAAATGGCCACATACTACTAGATTAAATTGCAGAATTATCATGAATTAGAATTTTTAAAACATATTTCTTGGCTAAATAATAAGCTCGATACAATCTCTCCATAGCACCCAGCTACCCCTCGGTAATCGACTGATACAACAATCTGATTAAAATACAGATCTATATTAAAATGGGTTCGTCCGTCTGTCTGTCTGTCGCACTTTTTGGGACACACTAACTCTCCTAACTGAGCTAGAATGTTCAAAATTGGTGTAGGTATTTATTAGGTCAATGCCTTGATGACGTTCCAAGATGAGTATTTACTGCTTGGGGTAAGCAGAGATAAGCAATTTGATTGGATGATCCTTTGGGACACGATAACTTTAGTTCTAATTAAGTGAGGGTGACAAAATTTGGTGTATAGTTTTATTACATCAATACTTGACTAAGTTCGATAATGAGCATTTCCTGCTCAGGGTAAACAATTAGATTGGTCGAGAGTTTGGGACACAATAACTCGCCTAATTGAGGTAGAATGTCCAGACTTGGTGTAGGCGTTCCTTAGGTGAATGGCTTGGTGGAGTTCGATGATAAACATTGTCTGCTTTAGGTAAGCAGAGATTAAGCAGTCTGATTGGATGACGCGTTGGGACACGATAACTTTGGTTATAATTAAGTGAGAGTGGTGAAAGTCCGCGTATAGATTCATTATGACATTACCTTGACTAAGTGCGATGATGAGAATTTTCTGCCTAGGCTAAGTAGCGATAAGCAATTTGATTGGTCAAAACTTTGGAACATAGCAATTCTGCTTTCAATTGAGGTAGACTGTTTAAACTTGATGTAGATGTTCATTAGGTGAATGTCTTAACTGAATTAATTGATTAACATTTCGAGCTAAAGATAAGCAGAGCTAAGCAATTTCATTGATCGATGCTTTGGGACAAGATAATTTTGATTCTATCTGATAGAGAGTGGTGAAACTTAGTGTATAGTTGATAATCAGTTTGATTGCTTGATACTTTTGAAAAAAAAAATGCGATTTCGGCGGGGGACATCAGACTCACTGTTCGCTTGTTTATACTTTCGATGACATCCACTATATGAAGATCTGACCGGTTTCAGTGGAAGGTCGTGTTTTAACAGGGCTCACGGGAGCTGCTTTGGACCCTGTGACGTTAGACATTGGATTAACTTATCGGCGTTGATGTCACCGCACGTCAAGAACTCGCCGTAATAGTACCGTTTCACTGGCTAACCCCCCACATCAACCAAAATGAGGGTAACAACTATTCCAGATCCGTGTGTAGTAAAGACAAGTAAAACGAAATTTTGAACCATAAAAAAAACGAAACGAAATAGGATCTGTATTGTTATCAGATTGGGGGGAAAATCAACAAAACAGCATGTTGACTTAACACATATACTTACATTCCATACACGTGGAGAATGGAATATCCCTATCTCGTGTTAGGTAATGACACATCTTTTACAAAAAGGTGGTGACACATCTTTACAAAAATGAGCCATGGGTCCACAATTATCACATTTAATAATGTTGTTTTCTTATTGACCATAGAAATCACAAAACAGAGTTATGGAAGAGAATTCTTCAATTCTGGTATCGAAAAGTTGATAACGATAGGCTCCCATGACTCCACCAACTTCTTTTCTTTTCTTTTCATAATAAGACACTTTATGGTAATACAACTAGATTTGCCCCGCCCACCAATCTGTGAATAAATTCCACTCCCTACTCTATTGGAAATATAATCCATTGGCTTATGCAATTATTAGTGCAGATTCTAAACTGGGCGAATGAAGACGGGCATACGCCATACAGTGTGCTATGAGGCACTATCGCCTACTCTTATATCGAATTCCAACTGCCAAGGGATCGTTTACGTGCATTCCAATGTATACACGGGACCTCGGTTTTTGGTCTCATCCGAAGGACTAGACAGCTGTCCTTGTCAGACCCTCCGTTCTGCACCACTGACAAGGGGAAGCCACGTCGGAAAATCCAGATTAACTTTCTCGGCCAATGCAGGGATCGAACACCCGACCTCCAGGCTAGCGAGCCAGCGTCTTAACCACCTAGCCACCGTGGCTCCTACGGAATAAATAGTCTAAAAATAGATTTAAAACTGCACTTCATCATTTATATTTTTGAATTTTTTATATTCGAATATTTTATATTCTAATGATTAATATCATCGAAAAAAAAAATTATAGTCTAATAAACAGTCTAAACATAGATTTAAAACTGCACTTCATCATTTATATTTTTGAATTTTTTATATTCGAATATTTTATATTCTAATGATTAATATCATCGAAAAAAAAAATTATAGGCACAAGAAATGTCATGGATTTAACATTGAAAATGAATAGGGAGATAATTACTAGCCTGACTCCATAATCATTACGATGATAATAAGAGTTGTCTTTCTTACTTTTGTCTTCCATTTGTTCAACTTTTTCTCGCAGAATTATTAAATTACAGAGTAAATTTAAGGAAATATTAATCACCCACACATAAAAAACCATAACAAAAAATGTGTTGTTTTCAGCAAATTCCCTTTACATTATTTAGTGAGAACTGCCAGCTCTTTATCTAATCTCCCATAATGTATCTTAAGCAACTCCAAAGTTGTCGGATAAGAATGGCGAGCGGTGGTACTTGTTCAGTCACCTGACCTTCCAATTGAAAGAAAAAAACATTTGATGTTCAACATGTGCGGGTTAAACTGATGGCCACTGCGTGTTAGCGTGTTTAATGGAGCTCTGTGTCCTCAATTTAAGAGTTTAATTGACGGGCCTAAAAGTCAAACACAAGTATCAGAACAATAATATTTATTTCTATTTAACCCTCTTTGATTTAGGTCAATGTAAAGTAGATGAATTCGATTGAACGGGTGTGTTATTTCCAGTAATTATTCGACATAAACTAACTGATCAAAGATTTGTTTAAGACATATTAATTGAAGGTCGGCTGAAAGTGTAGCACACAATCGGATACCTTTCAGCACTCACTGGCTTAACAATTTTGATCTCAACAAGACAAATCAACACATAAAATACAATGGAATTTAAATATCATTATGTTTGACCATGATTAGATAGGTTTAGTCATTTCAGGTGAGGCATGTTGGGTTCAGATCTCTTGTTCAAATTTCTTCTTCTATTCTATGTTGGTACAGGTTGTATTGTCAGCCATTAATATCATATCATCTGGACAAACACATGTGTATTGTGGTAACGACGATGGTAATGATGGTAAACAGAAATGTGAACATCCACCGTTGTTATCACCACACCGATTAGGACCTGAGGTAGAGATAATATAGATATGTTAAAGATAATGGTTTGAAGGTGCTGATTTGAACTGACACCACAAACACTGCTACCACTACATGAACATTCCTAATGGTGAAAGGCAGAATTTTATGTATAGTGTTCAGTAATTGCTCGCTTTATCTGAAAACTATTGAGATAACCCCATTTACCCAACCTTCGGGAACCGGAAATCTACGACAGGGCTGTCCCGGGGCTGAAATTTGGTGTATAACATAGCTCGGACCGGGGAGTAATATATACCTGGTGGCATTGGCCTACTGCTTCCGGTTTTGGAGTTAATACTACTTTCAACCCGTGTGACACCGGGTCACTCGCTAGTTATTTTATATTATTAACCAAAAATGACGCAGTTAGGAAAATGGTTTAAGAAAGTTCCATGGGATGTTTCAGTTTGGTTAACCCATGAAAGATACATGTCCTCATAAGCCTATGTGGTGCCTAAATGCCCGCCTTTTACGAGCAATTTCTAAAACCCCATTTCATATGATTTCCTAACTGTTAAAAACTTACCGTCCCTTTGTTTTCTAGCTTCAATAGCCACCAATGACGTTAAAGCATCATCGCCTCTGCCCACTTTGGTGTATCTAGTTCTTGGATAATTCCCTCTTTCTTTGATTCGACGATAGAGTGTCGATGACCAATTATAATCCTGTGTCCAGTACACGTAATCCTAAAAAATGCACCAAAATACATACTATGGAGTAAATATTTAATAACAGAAGGCACACTAGACTAGAGAGTAAATATAGGCTACACACATAACTAGACCGTTAATATAGATAACTTTATATCTAAACGGGGTAAATATTTTATCATAGAATATGGGTAGAATGGGTATGTGAATGGTAGAAGATATTGGTGAATATTATAGGTGGTTGGGAGGTAGAGGATACGGGTGAATATTGTAGCTGGGTGAGTGGGTGGTAGAAGATATGGGTGAATACTGTAGGTGGGTGGTAGAAGATACGGGTGAATACTATAGGTGGTTGGGAGGTAAAGGATACGGGTGAATATTGTAGCTGGGTGAGTGAGTGGTAGAAGATAGGCGTGAATACTATAGTTGGGTGGTAGAAATTACGGGTGAATACTATAGGTGGTTGGGAGGTAAAGGATACGGGTGAATATTGTATCTGGCGGAGTGGGTGGTAGAAGATAGGAGTGAATGCTATAGTCGGTTGGGTGGTAGAAGATAAGGGTGAATACTATAGGTGGATGGTAGAAGATAAGGGTGAATCCTGTAGGTGGTAGAAGATAAGGGTGAATCCTGTAGGTGGTAGAAGATAAGGGTGAATACTATAGGTGGGTGGTAGAAAATAAGGGTGAATACTATAGGTGGGTGGTAGAAGATAAGGGTGAATCCTGTAGGTGGTAGAAGATAAGGGTGAATACTGTAGGTGGGTGGTAGAAAAAAAGGGTGAATACTATAGGTGGGTGGTAGAAGATAAGGGTGAACCCTGTAGGTGATAGATGATAATGGCGAATACTGTAGGTGGGTGGTAGAAGATATGGTAAAAATAATAAATAAAAAGAAGGTATATAGGAATTCTTACCCCGGATACAGTCAAATCGTTGGGTGAATACAAATAATGTGAACTACCTTTATATATCGTTGTATAATTTTCACCATTAACATCAATTCGTTTGATTTTATTGGCAGGTAAAGTTTCCACCCAGTATAATTTTTGGGCGTCTTGATCTACAAAACAAGAATTTTCAAGGATATCTCTTATCTGGCATTTAAGATCAGCTGTCTGCCATCTTGTGACCGACACGGGTGGTTACTTTCTTTATTTTAGCTTTTACTTTTGCCGCCTATAATTGTTATTTTGCATACGAATTATTGACCTTTCAATTCACTTTGGTTGCCGTACGCGCAAGATATATAAATGCATAATAAAGACTGTTCACTGCAAAACAATTCCACTCAGCGAAATAGTCCCTTGGATCTCTTACATCCATGTAGGATGATTAAGTCTATGGATGGCGGAATTTCCCTTTTGAACAACCGGTTATCATAAAATGGCAAGACTATAATTGCATTATTTATGTGATCAAGCGGGGGGGGGGGGGGGGGGGCTAGTCTCGTTTAAGAAGTTCACAATGCTTGAACACCTTTGTTTAAAGTGTACGTTAAAAAATCGCGGTGTGGGTTGGGGTAAAGGCCTGGTACCACTTCAGTGGAGTTAACTTTCCTAGAACACCTGATGCAAAATCTGTAGCGCAGTTGTATGTATAAACATGTCCTCTTAGACACGAGCTGTGAGACAAGGTACTGGCACCACTTCTCGTTCGTGGATTTAAACAGCAATCGGACAATTATTGTTTAACTTGAACCCCAGCGGTCAGCAATCGGACAATTATTGTTTAACTTGAAATCTCTCACCCTGTAACACAACACAACTTTTTATTGATGTATTGGTAAATACCTAATGCGAGACTGGATGGATATTTCAGACGTCGTGATACCACTTCGTGGATTTGGCCATCCAATGAAAATTTTCCAAGGCGAGCTGTCTCACTTTCCCACCCAGCAATGTAGTACAGCCACCTAAAATAAAAAAGACCAAATATTTGCCAAGTCTAGCGTAGTTCAGGAAAGGGGGGGACGATAAGAGTAATTCGCAGTTCACCTCCTCGTGGTTAAAGGCGCATGCCGTTTCAGATACAGTGTCTGTCGGAACCTTTCAGTACTAATCTCTTTGTCCATCCACCCAATTCCTAATCACAGCGAATACAACATACATGGTAAAGAAATCTAGAAGATATTGATGTCTGTTTGCGTGAAGCACAGTTATGGTGCTTCACATTAGGCTATTTTAACCGCGCACATATGGCATTATTTAACCGTGCACATATGGCATTCAAGGGGGCTATTTAACCGCCCACATATGGCATTGAAGTTTGAATGCATGTCAGAGAGTGTCATAAGGAACATTTACTTCAATTTTGACAGGTTTGTAATGAAAATCTCCACCACAAACGGATTTGGTGACAGGGGAGGCAACTCTTGGAAACATTCTTAGTGAGTAATAAATTCAACAATTGGTATTATGCTGGCTTGTATAGTACGGGCGGAGACACGGGCTCACTAACCAGGAGTATCCGTGTGCGATTCCGATGTTGTCCGAGGTATTTCCCCTGGACATAACAGCGTGGCTTGTTCTTGTGAATTGTGTAGGACGGAGGGTCTGGCATGAAACGGTAACTCGTGGTTCGGGTGGGACAAAACACCGAGGTTCTTTGTTCGCGTAACTGAACCCTTGACAGTTGGATTACGACACAGAGTGAGCTAAAACGGACTGTCCGAAGGCAACAAGCCTCATAGCATACTGCGTGTCGACTGCCATTTTTCATTCCCCCGGTTGGCACAGAACAATATGACGATAAACTGTATTTCATATCTTTTCTGCATAGACAAATTTTCTCTTTAAATAAATAGATAACACTATAAGACAATACAGTAACTTGAAAGATTTTCAAGTTCTAGATCTTACTAAAGCTGAGTTACGCTTTAGATTCTAAGTTAACTTACCCGTTTTCAGGATCTACTTCGATGTCTCTTACTTCAGAAACATTGGTTAGTAACGTTTTCTTCGCTCCAGTTTGTGGATTTACGACCAGTATTTTATGAAGCTGCCAATCACTAACATACAAATTATCATGTATCCAGTCATAAGCCAGACCTTCTGGTGATTTCATGCCTCCTTGTAAAACGGTTGTCTGTACCAGTCGTTCACCATCGCCGTTTATACTAAAATGCAATACAACTAACAGATACACAAATGATCTGAACACACCAGCAACTTTCATTCACCCATCTCGCGTTCTCTTAAGCTCCTTTTTTATTTAAATCAGCCGTTCCTGACTGCTGGAAACACCGGGCCTTTTGTAGATAGAGTCGATTTTTTTTTATTAGTAGACAGTTATCGCCAGTGTGAGATCACTGCAGTATAACTATCATTCGTAATTTCTACTTTTCGCCCTTTCAGAACGCGAAATTCGAACAGTTTCGACAACATGTGAGGCGGCAGCACGCCATACAAGCCAAAGTCGACTCGAAAACACTGATATAATAGCGTCCCTCGTGTTTTTTGGTGACTTCTAATTTGCCTACATGGATATCATTATTTCAAATTATATTATCACCATGCTTGGGAACGTAAGAACGAGTCGAATTATATATAAATAGCGACGATTCACGGATGAGAAAACGGTCCGCCATTCGTTTCATTGCCGCCACCAACATGCGCTAAAGTGAACAAGTGTGATTGTAACACTCTCTTACAATTGAAATTTCTATAAGTGGGAGGACTCGGAGAAAACCCACGAAGATGGGCAGGCGATCCTACTCCTTGTCACGTTCAAGCGGGGAATCGAAACAGAACTTGTGATTTCACCCAGACCACCCAACCCGAATGTAAAGACGGATTTTCTAAGTTGTATAATATACAAGGCAGTTGTTTTAGAAAAGGCCGAGATAATATATTAAATTTTTATATGTTGTCTTTTGGCAGATAAAATATTCCAGTTGGCGGGAAAAATTTTTTTTATATAGAAATGATTATCAATTTTAGCGGAACAAAAATGAAAGTCAGTGTGAGCCTGGATTGCACGTGTTCAAATGAAACTACACCATCTTCTGAGGCGACAGCAAGCCAAAATGATGGGTCGCTAACAGTGCAGTGTGTATTTCCTAATTTCGAGTTGTATTTCGCTTGGTAATAATGGGTCGCTTACAGTGCAGTGTGTATTTCCTAATTTCGAGTTGTATTTCGCTTGATAAGCGTGTTGGCCCTCTTACTGATAAGAGTAAAATAAAAATATGACTAAGTCGAAGTCAACAATGGCTACACAAGCAAAAGTAAAAGTCACGACAAAACGAGGGACGATATTATCGCGGTGTGTTTATTTCTTAATTTCCTATTTTCGAGTCGATTTTGCTTGTATAGCGTTCTGTAGCCTCACATTTGGTCGTAACTTCTACTTTTAGACTTTTTGCGTAGTTATAGGCTTCCATACTGCAAGGATGAAAGAAACTGTCGGCCACCCATCCCATCTCCACCAACCTCTCCATGGGAATGTCTATGTACACTCTCATTGTCAGTACTACAGGTGCCATATTGATTGAATCAGGTGAAAATATTTCAGAAGCAGACGAAATAAAGTAAAATCTTTAGATGAACCTCTTTTAAATATGGGGTCACACATATCTTTTTTCTTAATTAAATGATACATCATAAATTTGAGTACAGTGTCTAGTGGGTTAAGCCGTGAAAAATTAAATATTGTCCGTAAAATCCAAATAACGATTTGAGACTTTAATCTGACCCTTCATGCTTCCCATGTGTCGGTGACAGAGGTGTACATTCGAGGGCTAAATTAATTGAAGAACAGCCATAGATTTGAGAGAATATTGAAAATACCTGAAGACCTTTCTTTCAAATAAATCTGTCCAATAAATTAACTTCTGTTTGTAATTAAATTCTATGGCGGATGCAGCTCCGCCTCTCCTTGTTCCGGGTAAGAACCGGATGTTCGAGACACTGGCATTACTTCCTTCAGACGGATCGAATGTCTTCAATCTCTTTTCAAATTCAAGTACGGCTATTAAAGGTCCTTCGCCTTAAACGATGAAAAGAAAGAAATGAAACAATATGAGGTTTAACGTCCTACTGTTCTGCTCCGACTGGGCTAATGAATATATAGGAACATCATGATCAAAAGGGTCCTCGCCCAACCCAACAATTATTTTTTAAAATCGGGGTGTTAATCGTGAGTTGTTGGATCCAAATATAAAATTAAATTTCATCCGTTACAGCCTCGCTGTACTGCTACAGACTCGCTGTACTGCTAGCAACAAAACGGGAGGGGGTGGATCCTTAGGACACCCTGCTGGGTTTGCCACGTCGTTATGCTTATTCACAAAACACTTACAGCCCTGTCTCTTAAAGTCAGACTGCTATTATTTATTCTGCAATGATTAATGTAAAGACCGTATGATCTAAAGACCAACTTTAAATGAACCCAGAGTACGTTTAATTATATATCTAAAATATATATTTACCTGGTTCCGGAAACTCCAATGAATGGACGAAGCATGGCAAAAACAACAACAAAACACTCCAGATATTTCTCATTGCTGGTTATCTTAATCGTATGATGATATTTCATAAACAGTGACCATTATATATACCAGTTAGTCTGCACCAATCATCAAGGCTAATGTAATTTTAACTGGACATATTTAAATGGTATGACCTTCGGAATAATGAATTTAATAGCCCCGACATTTCAGTTGACAAATAATATAATGATATTTCGCAACATTTGTGACAAGATTAATACCTCTGTTCATCATTTTAAAATCCTCCAGATGCAACACATTGATTCTTAAACAAAGATTTAAATTTAATTTTGTCAGTACTATATTATTATGAACTTATATCATATTCAACTCAATTAAATGAAATGTAATAGGGTTTAGGGTCTTTCCCTGCGCCAATAAAGATTGTCTTACGCCATAAATTGTGCTATGAGAAAACTTTGCCTGGACAGTGGCGCTATGACCTACTCTTATTTCGAATTCCAACGACCAAGGACTGTTCTACGTGCACGACAATGTGTGAGAGAATCTCGTTTTTCGCTACATCAGAACCAGAACGATTAGACCATGACCTTACCGCGCCCTCCGTCCTGCATCACTGACAAGTGAAAACCAGAGGAACATTATCGCCCAACACTGGGAGCGAACCCGCGACTTCTTGGTAAGCGAACCAGTGGTTTACGCACTCGGCCACCGCAGCTCACCTCTCCCATATTAAAACTTAATTTGTTACCGACTTTTACCGCAGCTAGCAACCGTGCTATTGCGACGGTCAAGGAACAGGAAATTCGACCAGAGTATCCCTGGTTCAAGTCGTCCCGTGCCAGTTTAGAACCTTCGGTCTCATCCAAGCCCGGGGTGGCGCCGGTGGGGCTAACAAAACACATGTGGTGCTTATTTCAGCAGATGCCGTGCATACGAAAAAAACAACTCAAACTCAAATATTCATCGAATTAAGAAAGAGTATTAAATTCTAAAATAAAAGGTGCGTATAATAAAACAATTTTACTGATATATGAACTTTCAAAACTTACTAGGATACAGGACAACAATTACTTTATCAAAAGCAACATATACTTTGAGTAGCTACCCCCCCCCCCCCCCCCAAACCATACTTGATATTTTTCATAATATTCGAAGTTTAAAACTCGAATTAAAATTCAATAGTGATCCATTTCGATCTATATATTTACGCTATCTAATCGTGAAAATATGTGAGCCTAATATCCAATATTTAAGACACAGTGAACATTTTCTAACATTACACGAGTTGTGTATTCTATAGTTTCGGGCGCCGTTTGTAATTAACAAAGATAAACATATTCTACAAGACAATGCGAAAGTAATTAGTAACGACTGGTTCACAAACGACTAAATTATAATGACAAATCGTGTAGAATGGACTAAGCAGGCGCTAACGACAGTCGATCAATTTCGACTGCTCACGTATTTCACCGAACAGAATTGATTAGAATACAATTTTGAATATAAATCACTTTATACTTATATACATTCATATTACATTAATATGTGCTTTTAGACCCCCTTTGTCTATTTTAAGGTTCCAAAGAATAGAGTCATGTGCCTTTTCAAGAGCTAAGACAGTGGTTCTCAACCTTTTTTTCAAATGGCACACCTTAGAACACATGGAAAAAAAGCGGCACACCTGGTTAAATATATATGAAAAATATTTGTATTTTGCAAAATAAAAACATGGCAAGTCATAGACGGCATACAGCCGTAGACACCGACTAGTCATAGCCACATAGAATAACCCAAACTAAATAAAGAAAAACACGGCTATGAAGTTACTTTAGCGCGGTGTTTCGATATTCATCAGTCAAATAGATGTCTTCTTTAGTAAGAAATTTTTTGGTGTGCCGTTTAAAATTTCGCGGCACACTTAGAAAGATCTTGCGGTTGAGAATCACTGAGCTAAGAGTTGTGCAATTGTTGTTCTCCTTAATTTCTATTTTATATTACAGACATGTTGCTAGAATAAATGGTGACTTGTATATAAAAATAGAACTTTGCTGGTACATGAACTATTATAACGAATGTATATAAGATGTGTAAATATCAAGGGGCACTTTGAAATGTCACCCCAGATATGTCCATTCACTCATTCAGGTTTGGTCTTCCGTAATTAACAGTCTAATATCATACCATCGAAGAATAAAACGATAAGTCTTGGGCTAATCCCTACCATGTACATGAGAAATCCGCCTGAGCGATAACGCGGGATTCAACCTGATGGGGAAATACGTACAGCCATGTGTACCACCATGGGTCTTTCTGTCTGACACGGAGAGCGGGTGTTTGCGGACCGGTCGCCACCTCCTACATACGACCCATGCATCTTTTCTTACTACATATTTTAGTAGCGTTGCGATCGTCTAGAATTTGCTATGGTCGTCTTTGCATTCACTTCACGTTGTGTGTTTACTTCTTCATGTTTTTTTGAGACGTTTGTCTTCTCAGTAGTTATGAAATGCAACAGTTCGTTTTTACATTTTATATAGCATAGCCGGATACATGGATACATGCATAGTACACTAAAGTCATTCTCAAACACTAGCCAGCCAGACTCGATTTGGGCGAGTCTGCTGAATAAAAACTTCTACATCTTTTCCCTTCTAGACCCAAGCTGCTGTCTAACGGATTCTCTCAAATATGATAGTTTTGTAGCTTTTGGCTTTTGATCTTCAATTATATAATTGGTCAAATATGATGTAAATAATTACAGAGATTGGTCAAATAAGCCAAATCATGCAATCGTAAATTTCCGTTACATGTTTTTTGACACAATCTATCCTTGAACTTAGAACCCCTTTCCTGTTATTCTCACGCTATTTCACAAACAATTAATTTGCGTTTTAAATAAAATCATACCATAGCTACTACACTGACAATAGAGAATAATTTGTAAATATAAAACATGTTGTTTAACCCATCTTATTTGTCTATTCCTTGTCTATAAATTTAAAAACAATATCGCAACGACGATAGTGCTACACATGTGCGTGATTACGAATTATATACAGAACGTCTTTATTTAGCTAATCAAATAAATCATTTAAATTTCAGAATTACGCATTTTATAAACTGTTTATGAACAACGTGATATCAAGTTGGTATTTAAAGTTGATGATCGTCATTTGAGGGATTTTGAATAACTACAGTATTGTTAAAGCGGAATAGCTAAAAGGAATATCAGCCCAAAACCTGTTCATTTCCATTAAGTATTTAAAAGTTTGTCAACACATAGACGGCACAGACTAAAAATACACAGAGTGGCGACTCGCATTACCGCCCATAGTCACACAGCGACGCGCAATGCATCTTGGGAATTGTCTGTAATAAACACTCACTGACAGTTCGCTCAACGACGTTACGATATCTTTATCGATGAACTAAGTCTCATTAATTTCGTAGTTTTATAGTATTTTCGGTAACAAAACTACCGAGAATTATCACATACAATCATTCGTTAGTTGTGTGTGTTTATAAAACATGATTTATAAAACATGATTCATATTTTTAAAACATGCATAGATAAAGTGTGGTACAGCCAGGAATGAAGTGAGAGACGGCACTTGTGACGGTTTATGAATTGGCCTATAAGGCCGTAAATTCTTGTCGATTTTAAAAAGTTTTTATTAACTTTAAAACTAATCCACCAAATACTTGTTGTTTCGATTCCTAGATTTGAAATGTAATTTCCATACACCTTAAAATGGACCATTTTAAAATGTCAAAGTGACACGCCCTTTTTTGGAATAGGCCTATTTTACTCAACATCAACATGATTTACCTTTGTCTTCTAGAGCTAATTACTGTGTGATTTTCTTATTTATGTTATGTTAATAAAGTAAGCTTTCATTAAAATATAAAAAAATTATTTAAGAATATTAAAATCGAATTTCAAATAGGCATATAACGTTTTCCCAAAAAAAGATTTGAGCCGTTGGTTGTTTTCCAAGATAAAATACCTTTGGCCCCAACGTTGACTCACTGTGTGCTTTTATGATTTTTGTTCTATTAATTAATGTAGGCTTTCATTTCAAAAAAAGATAAAATACCTTTGGCCCTAACGTTGACCCACTGTGTGCTTTTATAATTTTTGTTATATTAATTAATGTAGGCTTTCATTTAAAAAAAAAAAATAAAATAATAATTAACGATATTAAAATTCTATTTGAAATAGGCCTATAAAATTTTTCAATAAACATTATCTGAGTTGATTGGTTTCTCTTTTTACAAACCAGTATAAACCAAAAACAACTTTAGAATGAATACTTTGCATATTGCTCTGGGTGTCATGTAATGTTTTGACGGACTTTATAGGCCCCATAATACTATGAAATTATCCATTTTACACTACAAAACAAGAATATATTAAATTATTATAAATCTGAAGTTTGCTCTAGATATCCATGACATTAGGTCTGATCTGTGTTCAGAGTTACTTTTATTTTTGTGATTTTTTTTGTCAACTGATTATTTAGAAATAGAAAATTTAGTTTAAACTGTGTACTTATGGAATTATCTGCCATGAAAACTGAAGTTAACCATACAGTATACTATTACTAGATAATGACAGAGTAAATTAAAATTATTTTGAATAACTGAATGGTTTAAAATTAGAGACAGTGCTTCAGTAAATATTTTATTGGTCGGATTTAGGCCTACCAGTAAAAGGGGAAATGTGATTTTGAATAGCATAACAGTATTAGGCTTACTGTATTAAAAGCTTATTGCAACTGAAAATTGAGCAAAATAATATTTTTGTTATGAAATCTGGAAAGGTATATAACATACCATATACTTAACACTTAAATTGTTTACCACAAGTAATTGTAGACCTACATAGAATCACATTTTTCGATAAACAAAATATAGAATGTAAAAAGAACATATGCAACTACAGACTTAATGGGTAAAGTTAACGATTTAAAATTTGATCCTTTAAAAATCACAACTACATGTAATTCTAAAATTACGAAAATACTAGATAGCATGCGATAATAGAGTTGGTTTACATCGAAGCGCAATTACTTCTTGTCCCGCGAAAGCGCAAAAACTAAAAAAAGATCTACAATTTAAATTACCGGATATTAATACGTTTATTAGACCTATGACTATGACATGTCATGGATTCAAGTGGCGTGGTTTCGATTCCCCGCTTGTACGCGACAGGTGTAGAGTTCCCTGTCCAACCTCGTGGGTTTTCTCCGGGTCCTCCAGTCTCCTCTCACTCAGTCACTGCTAAAAAAAAGACCCATCAATTGAATTATTGAAATAAAACTGAACCATGTTAGTCCCGAAATTACCTTGATTTGATTTAGCTTAGACAAGTTAGAGCGAGAGGTCATATTATCATAAGTTAGATAGCCTAAAGACGTATACCTATATAGATCTACTTCTAGGCCTACAGTACGCAGTACTCTACATTGGAATATATCATAATATGCAATATAATGCCAATTAATCAATCAAATATGAAAACACCTTTCACCAAATATGTACTCTTACAAAATAAAATTTTTGATGATATATACAGCTGTTATTATTATCTATATAGTATTATAGTATTTTCTTCTGTTCAACTGCGAAGCGTCTTCTTTAGCCGACATGTTTAGTGACATTACAGACAAAACCCAAGATGCAGTGCTCGATCTACTTTGTATGCAAATGTAGACGGTATAAACAAGCCACTGTATAATATTGCCTAAAAACGTTTGATCTTATTAAATAATTAGCGTTGATTAAGCCGTGAAAAATTAGATATTGTTACACATTCAATTAACGATATGTTATGGGAATATCAAAGTCACGCTAGTTTCTATTGATTTGATACTGATATATCTATGTAACTTAGATACATATAGTATAATATACATATAAAATTCAAATGGCGCAATTATATAAAATGTATACTGGATTCCGTTGATTTGACACTGCTATATCTATGTAAATAAGATAAATATAGTATACATATACAATTTATGCTTGGTTCCATTGATTTCACACTGTCATATTGTGACTTTTATAAATCTAGTATACATATCAGGTTTTGCGGTTATCTTTACAAATGTCATAGTAACGCGATTGTTGATGCAACGGACTTAGTTGAAGTACTGGTTATTTGATTCCTGCAGGCCGAGGTGAATTGTAGCACAAAATAAAATCAGACATCCATTCTGGAATAGTCCATAGAAATCTTAAGAAGTATTTCTCTTTGTTCCCACAAATATATCTGCATTTGGGGTATCTGGCAGTAATGGCATGTTCGTAGGCATCTATCACCATATTGATGTTCCCGTGAACACTGGAATCTCTGATCAGGTCGTTGATGCCTGCAAAAGAAAATGTTTATTTTTTTTAAAAAAAAACACCCCAAAAACCCCCCAAAACCCTAAGATGGTTGGTCATTCATGTCAGACTGTTTCGCTTCATAGTTAAACCTCTATATTTATAATTTATCTAATTGATATAAACGAATGGAGGTAAACACAGACACGGAGTTCAAATAAACAAAGACAAAATCGAGTAGATATTTTACTAATAAACCCTAAAGAGTAACTAACAGGTACGAACGTACTATGGACCAAGATCATACGTCACCACGGCCAACTTGGAATTGTGGCGTCTTACGAAGCAAGAAATCCGTCAGTCGATGCACAATTGTCCGAGGAATACCCATGTCAAGTTTCATTCTGATCGTACATAAATGTTGGACATTAGTAGTGCATATTTTCTCGGTAAGTTAACAACACCAAAATTGATTGAAAAGGGCCAATATTGAAATTTAATTTATGTTTACATTACAATATTTAAAATTAACATCCCTTTCTACCAAACCCCAGTCCTGTAAAAGTCTAACCAGCGTGGCTGGACTCAGGAAACCACTACATCGTGAAATGGTCGCCTTCAGAATCCAGTGAGTGTCTGGCCATTATAGCCCTCACTCCCTCTTATTTATAAGTGTCTATTCTTTTCTCTGATAACAGCTAAATTCCAAATATGGAATGGACATGCACCCCAACCTGGATATCGACAGGGATTGTTACCTAATTTGGTTAACAGATATGATATATGTTTTATAACAAAGAAACATGTAAATAACCAACATGTTCATTAAACTGTAACTCGGTTAACGTATCAAAATAACCGGCATATACTTTCTATATTTTTGGTTATGAAGTTAGAATCAATAATATGAAAGATAACACTATTGTTTCAGCCATCATATTTCTCCATTCCTTGTATTTAGACCCCATATTCTGTTATTGTCACAATATTTCATAAACAATTTAATTTGCGTTAGAATAAACGTATACCATGGCTTATATTTTGGCAAAGGAGAATAATTAATCAAAACCATAATATTAAATTACATTTGTGTTCTTTAGCACAAATCCCTGCCATCCATCCACTCGACACAAGCTAGGACATTTCGGGACCAACTTATGGTTCAATTTCATATCAATAATTCGCTTGGGGTAGGCCTATTTAGCAGTGGGAGGATATCGGAGGAACCGGGGTTTAACGTCCACTCGACACAAACTAGGTTATTTCGGGACTAACATATGGTTCAATTTTATTTTCCATAATTCGCTTGCGCGTAGGGGTCTTTAGCAGTGGGAGGAAACCGGAGAAAACCCACAAGGCTGGACAGGCGACCCTACTCCTTGTCACGTACAACCGGGGATTCGAAACCACGCCAGTTGATTCAATGACAGGCCTTTTGATACTGCTAACCATTCGGCCATCCAACCCCCCTGGTAATAAAGGGCGCTGATGAAATAAAATGAAATGGGATTTAACGTCGTACTGTTCTGCTCCCACTGGGTTAATGAAGACAGGCGTACACCATACAGTGTGCTATGAGGAAAATTATGCCCGGGAAACGGCACTATGCTATATATCAAATTCAAACTGTCAAGGGATCATTTAAGTGCACGCCAATGTATACACGGGACCTTGGTTTTTTGTCTCATCTGCATGGCTAGATAGCTGTATTTATCAGGCCCTCCGTCTTGCGCCACTGACAAGGGGAAACCATGCCGGAAAAGCCCGATGAAATATCTCGGCCAATGCGGGGATCGAACACGCGATATCCAGGCTAGCGAGCCAGCGTCTTACATACTTAGCCACCGTGGCACCGCTACTTCTTGATTAATCAGATTGAAAACCAATTGGGGATATAACAAAATACGGCTTTTGATTTGTTGAGAACTTACAATCTTTGAAAAAATTCTCGCCATAAAACTGTTGACAATCAACATCTCCATGCTTGAATGCTCTCTGATAAATGTCATTGATCATCGTTGGATTTATTATATTTGTTTTAAAAGTTTCTGGTTCCAAGATGCTCACTTTAATATCCTGGTGGTATACCTCTCCTCTGAATAAAAAATAAAATAGTGGCACCAATCTTACATAATTTATTGTGGGCTTAGAGACAATTAAAAGTTTGAGGGAGAAGTTGATTGATCAATTATATCTTTAAGGACTATATAATATTACGACAGATTACGTTCCTTTTGTATCGCTGCATCCATGCGGCATGTTGGGGTTAACAGTGTTTATATGTAAGAAAATATTTGACATTTTCATTTGTGTTGTTATTCAGCTTACTCGATGTCACCTGCAATGGCTTCCATTGGTGGCAGATCTAGAATCAGCGATCCGCAAGACGATGACGAATGCTGCGGATCAGTTTGCGACAACAACGTAACCATTCTGCCAAAAACGAACCCCAACCACGAATTATTTACCCAGGTATTGAAGGATAACGTTGCCAATATTATTTCAATGTTCACTGTACAAACTGCATATGTCAGCAGTTCAAAATACGTAGTTTAGTTTTACAATTTGCAATTTCCATTGCTCCACAATACCAATGTCACAGTGTTAAAATACAGAATACACTTTTCAATAATAAAAAAATACAGTATAGTAGTTATTTTGCACATTACACTTGTCCATTTTGCATAATAGACAAATGCAGAATAGAACTTAGCGTATTAGAACATATACCTTATATGGGAACTACGACCATTAAACAATACATAAAACAACATTATTTACACGAGACCTTATATATGTAACTAGTGGCGCGGTCGCCAGGCCACGTTTACAAAGTTTATTCCATATTTATTTTACTACTAAGGCAATTCTTTTTGTAAAATATATTCTTTACAAATGGATAAGAACAATTTATAACCAGTTATGAATCCCAAAATATTAAAATTTATATCAATATTTATTTTGTTATATGTACTGGAAGCAAAAAGATTCGATTTCTATGTATGATCAAAGGTTGCATAATGTTACTTATGTCATGGAAGTGTCCATATAGGTACAATATAGGTACAACAGCTTCACGTTTAAATATATAGATATTGTAAAGCACAAACTATATCTATAGGTACAATAGCGCCACGTTTAAATATTGTATTATTACGATAAAGCGAGGTCCATCGGTGTGTATACGTCGCCGTGTACGTAAAATAACCCTTGGCAGTTGGAAATCAGGTGGGTACGTTTTGCCAAAATTACTAAAACAGCCAAATGCCAAAAATGCGTCTTTTTGATCGAGATCGAAGGTTACTTAAAAATCCTAATTGTACGTCCTGATATATTGAAACGAAATAAGACCAGCCATGCAGTTTGGCCTTTAGGCTAGAGTAACTTAAAGTATGTGGAAACGGCTTCGAATATCTCGCATTGCACAGCTGCTAGTCTCCAAATGACCAAAGTATGGGGTTAACAAGACATTAAACTACATTTGATTTTCCTTTTCATTTTTACTTGCTTTCGATCACTCAAAATACGAAAAAAAATTCTCAATTAGATAAGATAGATATAACGTTTAAGATGCACTATGTTAGATTTAGACACAGAGCCTTCGAGACTTAGCCCGATTTCTCCATTTTTAAATGAAATCATTAAATGGCCGAAACGTTCGAATCTACTTAAAATCGGAGCCATCCGATGACCTATGTTAATAAATGTTTAAATAATAGTTTACGTAACATTTAAAGCCAAAATAAAGTCCTGCGATGGTCAGACTTAGTTCAGCATACCGTCACACACTTAGTAATCACCCATGAACACTCCACCATTCTAGGCCTACTCTATAGAGCCAAGAACAGGTCAAGATACTGTCAATATTTGGTTAGCTTAAAGGCACATTCCCCAATTTATCTTGGTGTCGTTATTGATGCAATATGAGTTTGAAAAGGAAGCATTGCAACAACTATCTAAATAACATTTAATTGTGTTATAGACGTTTTTCAGGGCTTGTTCCATGCTATAATGAACTCAAACTGATAACTTACCATTTACTTAAAGATGTTTAAAAAAGATAATGAAAGATGAATATATTGAACATTTCGTCAAAGTGTTTGAAGTGTTGACAAAATGTGAAATGAAATGAAATGGGGTCTAACGCCCTACTGTTCTGCTCTGAATGGGCTAATAAAAACGGGTTGACAAAATGTAGTGCAGATGGTTTATTAACGTAGAACGTGCTGATTTTGATTAAGTAGTCGTGTGTGTCAATATATATGTTTTCGGGGGCGTAGATTTAGATTTCTGCCATTTACAACTGCGTAAAATGATCATATACATGTAATTACTCTTATGGATCTTTTGGTTTTGTTTACCCCTTAAAAACTATTACGTACGTTATTTATATGGCAATATGAGAGATTATAAAGCGTTTAAGAAGCGAACAGCCGAAGACATTCTGACCTGATTGACTAACAATTTTTTGTTGCAAAAAGTTGTTTCCTTTTCAGGCATCAACGACTGCACCAGGTCTCTTGATTCTCCAGGGAACATCAATATGGTGATCGATACCTACGAACATGCCATTACTGCCAGATACCCCAAATGCAGATATATTTGTGGGAACAAAGCGAAATACTTCTTAAGATTTCTATGGACTATTCCAGAATGGATGTCTGATTTTATTTTGTGCTACAATTATTCTCCTCGGCCTGCAGGAATCAAATAACCAGTACTTCAACTAAGTCCGTTGCATCAACAATCGCTTTACCAGTATAGAATATTTCCAAGATGGCCGACAATTGTGGTGGATCGTGTCCTGAAATATACATTGCCCCCCTCCCCCCCACCCCAAAAACGACTACTTAATCAAGATCAGTATATCGTTCCATTTTTCCACTCAAAATATGCACAGACGGTAAACATGACGTGATCATTTACCAAACATGACTACTTAACCAAAATCAGCACATGTTCCAATTTTCCGCCAAAGCTGACCGCTATCTTGGAAATTTCTTCATGAAGTGATGAAAAAAATATGAAATAATAGTAATGACCCCTGCCAATACCAATACAGTGCTTAATCACAGTTAATATGTCGATAACATTATAAATAAGGTGAAAATGAAACAAAATAAGTTGGAATGTTATCGCAAAATGGCTACCGCCAACAATGGTTTTTGTCATTAAACACCAAACCCATCAAAATAAAGCTTATTCCACGATTTCTACCAGAAAATCCGCAACATGGGAATTATGTAACAATCCGAATCGGACTAAATAATAATTTATAAAACCCTTGAAGCCAAAACAATGGACCTCCAATAACCACATTTAGCTCTTACATAATGCATCCTAACAGCTTACCTCTATTGGGAGGTAAAATTGATTTCACCTTGGTGAGTGCAGACTTGATATCATCTTCAGACGTAACATCTAATTGAAGTGTCTGAAGACGTTCTGACGATGATTTCTTCAATTCAGCTGCAGCATCTTGTTTCAGACAGGCAGCAATAACATGAAGACCTAAACCATCTAATCTTTTCGCTAAAAGATGTCCAAATCCTGAATCACATCCAGTTACTAAGACGTACTTTCCACCATAATGCTCGACCTTTAACCTCTCCAAGAACCATTTTAAGGCCCAATAACCAATTAATATGGTCATGATACAGAACAACATTTTGAACAAAACAATACATAAAACAAAATAGAAATGATATATGATTCGATAGGATATGATGAAATTATGTTTTATTTTACTTTACTTTCGGGGGGAGTAGGTTGGGGCAATCTTATGTATTGACTGCAGCGTCAAACTTAAAGTTGCAAACATGGCCTATCTTCATAAAACACTAACTAAATAACTATTCTAGAAGACATGACTAATAACAAAGCTGTCTGGAACCAACTGATCACCAAAATAAATCTGCCTGGCTCCAAGATGCTGTAATTAAGTTTCCCAGAAACTGTGTCCAAGGAGTACGCAAAAAAAAAAACACCTTTAATAATGCCACAAAGTTAATCAAACGTGACTGTGGATAGATTTGTGGAAACAGTTCCAGATTCCGTCACAAGTTTTGCAAACTTAGAAAGTGTAGACTGGCCTGTGTCCACTCCACACGGTCCGTTTAATTACTAGTTTTAGTCCAGAAATAAATGACTTGGTTTGCTGTATTCTACAGGATAAAACGAAGGGTATGGCGTCAAAACATGCAACTAGTGTATGGTATTCTAAGATAATGACGTTATCATAGGCCTACAAACATCCTTAACATCGTACGATAAAATACAGCTACATGTAGATTGCGTTATCTAGTGGTCAACTTTGCCTTTGTTTTAATTGTACGATAAAATACAGCTACATGTAGATTGCGTTATCTAGTGGTCGACTTTGCCTTTGTTTTAATTTTTAAATTAATGTTTTAATTTTTAAATTAATGTTTTAATTTTTTAAATTAATGTTTTAATCTTACAAATTCTTTCAAATGTATGGTTCGATCATTATTAGTTATAAAAATATCATCAAATAGAGGTTGATTATGTCAATTAACTCACTGTTTTATAAAATCATTCTCCGTCAATTCATGGTTTTAAGATTTCTCTGTAAAAGGGGGTAATTTGTCTGTTCTTTGTCAGTTAGTTTTATACACAACAAGGGGGGGGGGGGGGGTGGATGGCTGAATGGTTAGCGTGCGCGCGCTGTATCATAAAGTCTGTCATTGAGTCGACTGGCGTGGTTTCGAATCCCCGGTTGTACGTGGCAAGGAGTAGGGTCGCCTGTCCAACCTCGTGGGTTTTCTCCGGGTCCTCCGGTTTCCTCCCACTGCTAAAGACCCCTACGCGCAAGCGAATTATTGACATAAAATTAAACCATATGTTAGTCCCGAAATGACCTAGTTTGTGTCGAGTGGACGTTAAACCCCATTTCTCTCTCTCTCTCTCTTATACACAACAATTTCATAGACTTGTGAAATGTTTAAACTACACTCATATTGTTGACAATTTATGGTCAAAATTAATCTTAATGAGTACATTTTAAAGTTGCAATTTCATATTTTTAAGTTATATTTTTTAAAATTTATTAAAATAAAGTCTTTAAATAGATGGTATCTATAAACAGTCCTACCTTGTTAAAGAATAATCCTATTAATTGGCAAAAAATATCATTTTCATCTTCAAATTCCAACGTTTGAAGATAACTACTCCATGGTGGAGAATAGAAAACAAGGGAGATAATTGTGTTATTATTTCCGGTGTAAATGAGTTTTAAGTGTGAGAATGACACCTATGATCGTATAATAGTGAGTTGACAACCTATTAAGCAAAAGACATTGAAATAATTATGTTTTGACTTTCTTAGAAAATATGAAATTGTAACTTTAAGGTGTATATCTAGAAAATTAAGGCCTCTATTATAATAATTTCCTATTGTCGTAGTTGTCTTAAGACCTGTTAATTGGACCATAGAAAAACATGACAGTAATGGAAAAGTTTTATATCGGGCTCTTTTGTATACATCGCGAATCTCTATTGTATCACATTGAATGCCAGCGAGGCAATCTAGGGGAATTTGTGCTGAACCGCTATTTTTATTTGATACAAGTACTTCAGATTTTTCTAAGTTACCCTTTGTCCCAGGAGAATATTTCATTGACCTATTAGGTATTAGATATTGTTATAAAATATAAAGTATGATCTGTATGTTGATAGACAAGGGGGGGGGGGGGGGGGTAACTCCATCAATGGCGATTCCGGGTAGGTGGACTCAGACTAGCAATCTTTTGCCTATTGACTTCAATGTTAAATGGCTGTAACATCACAGGCTGTAGCTTTTTTCTCAACTCTCCTTTGGTTCCAATCTTTATAGGCACAATGGGGACAACATTTGGCAATCTCCTCATCATAATTTTGTATTGGGTTGACCATTTAGATTTTGTGCTACACGTATTTGAAGTTGACTGGGATGAAAATCTCACTTCCGACACAATGATTGCTCTGCAGAAAGACACTTTACACCCCCTATCCCTCCGCTGTAATATCATCAGTATTACCCAAAACTGCTATGAAATTGCAAATTTGATCCCTTTTCTCCAATTCTAGACCAAAAAGTCAACCCAAAAATGCAGGAAGAGGGGAGAAAAAAATTAAGGGAAAAATTGTCTATTTAGAAAGAAAGTAGAAAACAGCATGGATGTCCTGTACTCTTGTCTTATTGACCTTGTTATTGTAAAGAACTTGGACAGATGGCCATTTGACTTCCCACGCCTTCGTATGTTAATATAAAGTAGTTTTACTAAATTAATGAATTTATGGCTAAATCCAAATGTGTCTAAAATAAATATGTGTGTGAAACGCGACCAAAGGCTTTCATCGGGTCCAGTTTTATAATAAAAGCAGTGTCATCTCTTACTGACTAAGCAACTGCTACCATGTGCTTGCTTGTATAATATCTTGATTTAGTATGATTACCCGAGCGGTTTGGATGGCCGAATGGTTAGCACGTGCGCGCTGTATCATAAGGTCTGCCATTGAGTCAACTGGCGTGGTTTCGATTTCCCGGTTGTATGTGACAAGGAGTAGGCTCGCCTGTCCAACCTCGTGGGTTTTCTCCGGGTCCTTCGGTTTCCTCCCACTGCTAAAGACCCCTACGCGCAACCCAACCCTAACCCATGAGTAACATATTTCATATATTTATGTTCTTACTTTTTAAAACCTAAAACAGATAATTAATTTTGACAAATTTTATTTACATTATATCAAAAGGATAATACCACGGCTTGGTAACACTATCTTAGTGATAACAGATATTAGTTTAGTAAATATATCATATTTTTACATCAGGTATATAAAACAGTTACATAGATACAACAGGAACTAAACTACATCGGGAATATAAACGATAACATTAACATGGTACATTAAGAAAACCCTTCCGTCCTCCTGACAGGGCAGCGGCTGAACTCGGGTGGGTCCATACGCCGGTCTCTGCTCTTCTGTCGTCTGCGTCTCTCCTCCCTGCTCGTCTGTCTTACTGTCAGCAACTTCTGGTTGTATAGCCTCCAACAATAGGGAAAATAGATAAGACTCATGATCATACATGTAATTGTCTATTTATCACGTCATGGTATGATTACTGACCAGTGCGTATTCCTTTGAAGTCATGTGGAGCTTGTAACCAGATCATATGTAGTTTGTAAATGATATATGAGATTAATTACCTGTTTAATTAGATCATAGCCAGCTCGTGCCTTAACAGAAGTATATACTGAGTTGAAAGGTCGATATCATCTATTATCAAAACCAGCTGGGGTCAGTAAGTTCACAAAATCTAAATAATAGTTCGTATTTTATAATACATACATATTTTATAATACATACAATTGGATTGAAAACAGGACCACCAATTTTGTTCGAGAACATCAAAATGGCGGGGTGCTTATTACATAGCGAGCAACATTTCAATTTAACATATCCTTGTAGATACTAAACGGAACTGAATCATTTTTGGACTGATATTCCTGTTAGAGATTCATCTTTCACGGTATTTCAAGTGATTTCTAAAGTGCTAAAATGACGCATCATAACTTTAATCCTCACAATCTTCTTTTAACATATATATCTCCAGTAAGTAAATTGAGTATTTCTCTGCTCTCTTCTGAATCCCCAATCGTTTTGAACAACCTCGTGACTAGCAGCACTCGTTGTCTCTCGATATCCAGTTACGATAGCTACGTGTACGCCATCCCCCATCACGTCACCGATTTGTGGACTGTCGACGTTGTGCCAGCATTCATCTCTTAACAAATATGTGGAGTTGGGATTGCCCCATTCGCCAGCCCCGATGGGTCCAGAAATTCCAAAAAACCTGGAAGGTAAATGAAATGTAAGAGAAATTGATCAACAGGTAAAGGGTTGATGCAAAATACATTGAACCATTCAACAGACAGAGAACTATCTATTTAAGCGGGGCTAATTGTAGACAGATAGCGTAGTTTTCGTGTTACACTGGACCAGGTAGGATCAATGTCCTCATCAGTGTAAACTATCAATGGCATCAATCCCACCTTTAGAAGTCTTGTTTCACATCGCAACAAAAAAAAATGTGTTGCGGTTACCCTACCGACCCTATTTTTTTGTAGCCGAAATCGCCGTCCCATAAACTTTTGTCTCATTTCATAGATCCTTTAACTCCGTCTTTGACGTGGGTTTCTGTAGATAAATTCCAACACTGAAATTAAGTCAATCTGATCAAAACACAGATCCTATTTCGTTTTTATGATCTAAAAGAGTTGTTATGTAATCAACGTTGATTGGTTAATCGAGTGTCTGGCGTCTAGGTTCAAATGCCGCTCGTATGACCATTTACACGACCTCCCACTACATCCGGTCAGATCTTCATGCAGTAGAGGCCATCGAAAGTATAAATTGTAATTAAACTAAAATTGCCAGGAAACAGATAATACAAACGCTACAACAAAAAAAATTCCGACCGTAAACACAGGTATTTTATTACTTGTTTGCGCGATGTGTTTATAAATAGGCAGTGTTGGTAAATAATATCAGGTGTTTTCAAACGTGGTTCGTATGCCCCCTGACACGACCTCCTACTTCAACCGGTCAGATCTTCATGTGATGGGGGCCATCGAAAGTATTAAATAACACGGA